TTTCATATTAATATTTCTATTAATATACTTTTACAAAAATCATATGCTCTGATTTTTGGAATTTAAATTAGAGTTTTTTAAGATTTGCATTTTTTTAAATTTTAAAAGCAAATAACTTTTAATCTTCAAGTTTTTAAAAAATAATTTTATTATTATTATATTCATCTCTTTATTATGATTCCAACAAGTCCAAAATTATCCAAATCTAATCACAGGATCAAGAGATAAAGCTATATTCAAATAAGAACACACCTCATATATCAAACAATTGGTTAGACCTGGTCTAACCAATTGTAAAATGCAAACCCTAAAAAACCCTAATTTAAATTTCAAAAATTAGAGCATATGTTTTTAACAACATATCATATTCCTTTCTTCTTTTCTTTTCTAACAAAGTTTGATACATAGTTTTAAAAATTTTTCAAATATTATAAAAAACAATTCAACATAATCAATAAACAAAAAGTTTACAACTATATTAATTTTTAAATGGTAATAATAATAAATAATAAATACAAAAACTTATTCTCAAAAAATTCATTTTCTATTCAAAACTGTACAAATATTAAGGTTCTGCAATTTAATTTGATTTGATTTGATTTGATTTGATTTGATCAAATATTTGATATTAAATCAAATTCAAATACAGAAATTTTAAATTAAATTAAATTCAAATTGACAAAATATTTGATTTATTTAACAAATATTTGAATATTTGATTTAGTTTTTATTAAACTATAAATATAATAGCTATTTATACAAAATTTTATTAAGATAATTACCCTTTTTTTCTATTTAACTAGAGTATTTTGATTAAAAAATATTTTTTACTCAGGCTATGCAACAAAAAACTCTCACTGATAATTACTTGTACCAAACTTATGACTAATAAAAACAGAAAACTTTTTGAAGAAAGTAAAAGAGACAACTATACAAGTAACGGTTTTTACAAAGATCAAGATGTTCTTTATCTGCTTATTAACTCCAGACTCCTCTGTATATTCAGCAAGCAAGTTAAAAGTATTCTTGTACAAGATAACTGGCAGGAGGTAATGCTCTTGTACAGAAAATTTTAATAGAAGCACTGCTTCTGTTGACAAATTAAAAATATAGTTGGTCTAGAAGAACAACAAGCGAGTTTTTAATACACTCTCTATCGAAGTTTAAGGCTATCTGCTAACTAAAACCCTCTTCAACACTCTACTCTTTGTACTTCATGAAATTTTACTAAAAAGTAGAAAATATGGCATATTCCTATCAAAGAATCAACAATAATGATCACTGTTGAAAATGAAAAAACACATGCATGTATATATATTTACTTTTGGATGAATAATATATGATCAGTTATTCTTCAAGAGGCTATGATATTTACACTAAGACCACTCTGAGTCACTAACTTTGCTCAGGAATATAAAGAACTATAAATACATTGCAAAAGTTTCTTGAAGTATGCAATCAAAATTTTGAACTTGGACCTCTACTTAAGAACAGATAGTTTTGATAACATTTTTACATTCTAGATATAGACATAAATACTAGTATAGAGTTTAAACTAGTTATTTAGTAGTACTATATAATTTTTATAGTCTTGCACAAGCTTAATAGTGCTATCTTTGTTTTCTTTTCTTTTCTTTGTTTTGTTTTCTTATTTGTTTTATTTGGTTTTATTTGCTGTTATAGATAAATCAGGATTTTGGCATTGAGATATAACCCTTTTAGTTTTATTTGCCCTGTTTCATAGACAAATTCTTGAGATATTGGTATTTTTTAAAAAAAACTTTTTATTTTTATTACATAATTAATTTACATATTATACCTGATCTTGCAAATTTATTAGCTAATTATATACTGATAATAATTACTATAGTTATAGTTAGTAAAATTCCTTAAAAAAATAATAAAATTTTAAAAATATTAAAAATTTCTAAATATTATTTATTATGATTTGATTTGATTTGATCAAATTAAATTTAAATACAGAAATTTCAAATCAAATCAAATTCAAATACAAAAATTTCAAATCAAATCAAATTTAAATATGCTTAATATTTAATTTGATTTGATTTTGAGAAACTCTAACAAATACTGCTACCAAAGCTATATTATATCATATATATACAAGTATAGATCCAACTAAATAACAATCCTTATACCAAATACTATACACAATTTTTACAACTTAACTACTCACTTCTTTAAACAATCCTTTCAAACTTCACTTGTTTCTAAATATATTTATCCAACTATAGATAATTTTGACTTTTTACCTAATCAAATTCATCATATAGATCTGCTAGTCAATTTCTAATGAACAATATATTAATGTCTACAAGTGATTCTTTATATTTTTAGTTCTACAATAAATCTCACCATGACATCTTAGTACAAATACATTATGATATACTCAAATCTGCAAGTAATTCTTTATATTTTCTAATATATAATAAGTATCTTTATGACTTAAAGCTTCTGTATTATTTGGTTCAAATACTGCCAATTTATTTAAATCTTCAAGTGATTCTTCATATTTTTCAATCTTTGCATTTTTGAATAATTTATTTTTTTTTGTATAACTAAGAAAAATTATAAGTCTGTTTTGATTATTAACAAAAGAGCTGAACACTCTCTTGTTTTGGCAACAATGAAGCAAAAAGCAAAAATAAGTTTATGCTATTACATTCTCTATATATTTGTTTATACACACATATTATACACATGATAATTCTTGATCTGTCAGATCTCGTAACAAATGGTTGTCCTGTGATTTCGATTACTATAATGATTTTGAATGATTGTAAATATTAAGTAAAAGGGTACACATATTTATATTAACCACCAATTTTTATATCTAAAAATTATTTTTTTCTCTTAATTTTTGAAAAAAAATATGTTTTGCTATCTATTATTGTAGTTGTATCTACATTATCTTCTATATATGTATTTTTTTTGTTTTTTTTACTTGATATTCATTTTTTAAATCAAATGAAGAAGAAGGTAAGAAAAGCTGCAGTTAAGGTTATCTGTGATCAGAGTCTAAAGTCATGCAAATACAAGAACTTTTTTCAAAACTTGTAAAGTATGTGTATATATATTGCTAAGAAAATTAAAAACTAGTAAAACATCACTACCTGTTACTTCACAGAAAAAGTTTATTTGGCACTGAAAAATTTTTTACTCAACCTGTCTTATTTATAGAGATTTGTGTGTTATATGATTAGTGATGTGCTGTGTATATGATATTCTTTACTAAATTTTATTGGTAAAATCAATCTATTTTAAAATTCAAATTTTTTTTAAACTTCTAGTGAAGTTTCTTGATAATTTTCTTATTAAATTTAATGAATTTTTGTTTTATTTTAATGCTATAAATCTGCAGAATTGAAATAAAATAATTTTTGTCAAATTTTATTTGGTAGTTATCAAAAAGTATTTGTCTAAAGTTTTAAAATAGTTAAAATTGAAATTATTCAAAAATTGGGTAAATTTTTTTCTTTAAACTTTACTTGAAGATTTCTTAATCACTACCTAACTAAATTCGATAAAAATTTTTTTATTTTAATTTTACAGATTTGTAAAATTGAAATAAAAAAATTTTGATCGCATTTAGTTAGATAGTTATTGAGAGATCTTAACTTAAATTTAAATAAAAAATTTGATCACAGCTTTTCTTTTATGAATACTTAACTTTGAATATTTATTTCGCAACAAATAACTATTTAAATTTGATAAAAATTTTTTATTTTTGCTTCTACAAATTTATAAAATTAAATCAAAAAAAATTTTATTGAATTTGGATAGTTCTTTGCCAAGAAATATATATTCAAAGTTAAGCATTCATAAAAAAAAAACTGCAGCCAAATGTTTTGTTTAGTAAAGATTTGTCAATGACTATTTAACTAAATTCAATTAAAAATTTTTATTTCAATTCTACAAATCTGTAAAAAAAAAAAATCATAAATTTTCATCAAATTTAGTAATCATTGAGAAATCTTCAAGTAAAGTTCAAAGAAAAAAATTTACCCGATTTTTGAATAATTCAAATATTCTAACTATTTTAAAACTTTAGACGAATACTTTTCAATAATTAAATAAAATTTGACAACAATTTTTTTATATCAATTCTGCAGAGTTATAGCATTAAAATAAAAAAAATTCACTAAATTTAATGAAGTTATCGAGGAACCTTCACTAGATGGTCAAAATTTTAAAACGGATCTTCGATTTTTACCAATAAAATTTAGCGAAGATCATCACGTGTTCGCAGAATTCTTATGTGCATGACCTTCGCTTATATTGTTTAACAATTAAAGGTATTATTTTAATTGTCTCTATAGAAGTTTTGCCTTGAGTTAATTCTAAAATAGTACTCACTAAACTATATTTTCATATGTCAATAACGGCATATTAAAGGTTCCAGATCTCTTGACTATGATTTTTTGTCATGTGCTTAAGTCTACGTCTATTACGCTATAGAAAATACTAACGTACTGTACGCGAAAAAAATTAGGCTATCATATAAATGGCACATCACTACACATGATAGGGGCTAGCATTATATCGCCAGTGCGATAAGTTACAAAATCCAAATAAAAAATAAATAAATAAAATTATTTTTAAAATAAAACGATGATTTAGATTAAAATATAAACTTTAATAAAATTAAAATTATAGTAAATTTTAAAGTGGTTTTTCATAATTGGAATTAATATAAATTTCTAATATAGCTGTTTTATAGTTAGATTAGGGTGGGTATTAATAAAGTTTTTTTTGAAAAGGGTATAGTAAAAATTATTTTTTAGTTAAGGTTAGGGTAAATCTTATTTCAAAATTTTATAGCTATATTAGAATAAATTCTTACTAATTTTTTGTTTAAAAAGCTGTTAAAATAATCTTTTGATCATAAGATTTTAAAATAATTATATTTTAAAGCTAATTTAAAAAATAATTTAAAAACCTAAATCGTGCTGTAGTGTCCGAGCCTAAGAGTTAGTGAAACTCTAGGAGGCTTCCCTATAACAGCGCTGACCATTTTTGATCATATCCAATTTTATATGACCATAGTTGTTAAAATGTAATAGTAAATTTTGTACGTCATAAGGTCATAATCCAATAGATCGTAAGAGGTCATAAACCCACACTGCCCTATGGTGCTTCATAATCCGGACATGTGTAAACTGTATAACCGCACTTAGCCTTATACACTTTCAGGTCTTAGAAATTAGAATTGTATAACGTATTCACTATCATTTTCTAACATAAAAATAATATTAAAATACTTAAACAAATATTCTGAACAAATTTCATATAAATAATATTACCTTCGAATATTTTTTCAAGTTGTTCATCAAAATTTGAATCATTCATAGGCGGGGAAAGATTAGCAAAATTAAGAAGCCTACTAGTGTATATCGCATCAGGATGTATTGTATAATGAACTTCTAACGCATTGTTTGTCGAAGAATCTTTAGCTAATTTCTCTGCCTTTTCAATTTGTGCAATAAACTCAGACTGTCTATTTCTTCTAATATCATAATACCAATCTTTTATTGTCTGAAATAATTTTTTGGACGTTGGCCTTTTGTCTGGACGAGCATCCCAACATTGCATAATCAGCTTAGTGATCAATCTTGGTACATCATGTGGAATTTTCGGACGTAATCCCTGGACAATACTTAACGCTAAGTCAGAATCATGTGAAATATCGTGATATGGTAAAATGCCGGTGACTATTTGATATGCTATAATTCCAAAAGAATATATATCAGATTCTAACGTATGTTTCTTTCCATATAAAACTTCAGGTGCAGTATATGGCAATACCCCATATACTACTTGTGATTCATTTAATTGTGGATCCGGATTTGATGGCTTGCACAACCCAAGATCTGCAATATTTAAGAAATTTTCATCTGCATTACTACTGAATAAGAGATTCCCCGGATGAAGGTCTTGATGAATCAATTTACTATCATGCAAATGTTCGAGTCCTATGCTGATATCATGCAATGCCTTTATCTTTGTTTCCCAAGTAATGTTGTTATTTGATTTCAAATATTCATAAAGATTGCCTAAAGGCGCAAATTCCATGATCATTATATAATTGCATGTTTTAACGTCTCGTGAAATTCCGAAAAGCCGAATAAAAAAAGTTGTATCCTCTATGTTAAAATATGATTTGACCTAAAATTATATATATATATATATATATATATATATATCAATTTATACAAATTTGCGAAATATATTTTATGATAAGAGATAATATTTACTTCTTTCAAAAAGTTATGATTCAAACCGGTAGAGTTAGATAAGATTTTTAGTGCTACTTTGATATTTCTGGAACGGACCCACTGATTATTATTTGCGTCCCACTTCATAATTGGACCATCTACCCAAGTAGCTGAATATACATCTCCAAATCCTCCTTGTGCAATATGTTTTTGGCCCACTAATTTTTCAAACGGAATCCACTCTAATACTTTTTTTGGGCTAGTTGCAGTAAGTTGTACGTTTTTAAGAAACTTATCGATGTCATCGTTTCCACTAGACCAATTCTCAAATTCTTTTTCAAAGTTCCTTGAATTGCATGACCGGCACCAACCATTTAAATACAATTGGTTGCATTCTGTGCATCTTAAATAAAAAAAAAACACATTAAATTAATTAAAACCGCATTTATTAAAAAAAAGGAAAAAAAATACACTCGATACTTACTCTCTGCAAAAAAAAAAGAAGTTTTAAACAAATCTATAAAATTTGCCTTTTCCCACAAGTAAATACTTGGAAATGCCCTTAGGCACTTCATTCACTATTTTTGAAAATAAGTACGCAAAATTTTATACTTACTCCCTACAATTTAATAGTTAAATTATTACAAAATTGTTGATTAGTAAAATCCACCTTCTTAGGATAAATATAATGAACCCTATGCTTACAATCTGATGATTTGATAACATGTGCGATTAATAAATGAATCATGAAGAGTATAAGTGGCCAGATCAATATGGCGTAAGCGTACAGTACAAATTTACATATCCTGTTATTATCAATGTTGGAATTATCCCTTTAAACTATCTTGAGGAAAATTGCATGCAAATTGCATGAATGTTATACTGAATTATATTAAGATATAGTTATAGTTTATATGTATTGCATATTTTCAAGCTTCACAATGATGGATTTAAGGGATAACAGATTAGAATGGCATTTCAATATGTATTGTGCGTCCTCTGCACCACACCACATTGATCCTACTAATAAGCTAACACATTGAAATACAATTTTAATTACCGCCTAGCAGATTAAATATTTAATTAAAGCAAAAAAAAGTTCCAATTGAAATGCAGGTTGAAAATGAACTTAAGTAAACTTTATTACATCTATACTCACTCTCTATTAATTTGGCAAGTTTTTGTTAGAGAAACGATAATCAATGAAAAATCAACTTTCGAAAGCAGCATAATTACAATTTATACTAACTCTCTAATATTGATAAAAAATGAATTGTTTATTAATAAATATTACCATTAAAATCTAATTTCAAGAATATAATTTAAATTTATACTTACTCACTAATTGTTCAATGGATGAGTTATTTAAAAACTATCGATTAGTAAAACAAATGCATTTAAAATGCCTGTTTGCAAAATAAATATGTTGAATTCCAAATACCGTCTAATAATTTAACAGTAACGTAATTAGTATTTGATAATAAAATATTTATTTTAATAGTGAATCGAAATGAGCAGCCTTGTAATTACCGCCTAAAAGTTGATTACCAATTAGAAAGGTGTTATTTATCTTAAAAAAATGGATTTCATTAGTTTTTACTCACAAACTGTCATTCATCGGTAATCAATTGCAAAATTTGTTTTGGTAAAAAAATCGCATTGATTCAAACTTTGAAAAAATACTGACACATGTGTTTATAGTTACCGTCTAGTAATTTGATGCATAGATAATTAATTATCAAGGTATTAATTAATAAAAAAATTGATAGGAATGCTATTTAAATATATATATATATATAATTGAACATGATATTCACTCTCTAAATTAATCGTGAAGTACTGATTAATACAGATTGATGTATTGATTTTATTCTTAACTAGATTGCATAAATTACCTTCTAATAATTAGTCGAATATTAGTCAACTAAATACGCTACAGAATGTTAATTTAGAAGACTTATACTCACTCGCTAATAATTTAACATTAAATGATTAATTTTATGAAAAAAATCTTGACAAAATTTTTTAACTTTACTTGCCTCCTGATAATTTAATAAAAAAAATCAAAATTAATGAATTATATCAATATCGATTCTTAGTACGCCAATACATATTAGAATATTAATGCAAATCAATTTAATCTAGACCAATTTAATTATTGTTTAACCTCCACCTCATTTTTAAATTTATATGAATTAATACACATCATATTAACTTGTTATATAATGCGGTATTTCAGTCTAATGATGGTCATTGTTGCTTTTCACACATTTCTTAAACAATAATTAAGTTGGTCTGACTTCTTCAGAAAAGTTTCAAACTGATATACTGTATTATCACTATCATTAGTGATAACTAATGATATACAAAAAAAATTAGTTTTCAGTAAATCTTTGATAACTATTTTCTCGATAATTAATTAACCAAATTTTTTACTGTGGATAGTATTGACATTACTCTATAATTGGTCAATTTATTAAAAAAGACAACCATAATTAAAATTTACTATGCTGTATAAAATATCAATACTGTTCACAGTATTATAATTAACTGATATGTATCGGCACCTTGATGTAAGCAAAGCATCATTGTTACCTTCTAAAGTATAAGTAGTTAATTAGAGAAACAAATTATGTCAAAACTTTAATATTAAAATAACTGCAAGCACATAATTACCGCCTAATGTTTTAACGGGTAAGCAATTATGTATTCGTCAAAAAGGCCGTAATTGAAAATTAAACTTTATAGTTACCGTCTAACAATGTAACATATTATTCAATAAAGAGTCGACAGAAGAATAAATTTTAAATTAAATTTATGCTTACTCTCTTATAATTTTATGTAGAAAAGGAAGTTAGCGCAAAATCCTTGCTTTAAAATTTACTAAAGTTAATTTTATACTCACTCCCTGTAATTTAATTAATTTATTAGATAAGAAGACTTAATATTAATTTAGTATAAATGAATTTTATACTCACTCCCTGATAATTAGCAAGCATTTAATTTTTTATACAATGTTCCGAATATCAGATCTTAATGATTCGAGATATACTTACAAACTAGTTAATAGAAAATAAAAAGTAAATTTAATATAAATTACAATTGAAAAACAAATTTAAAAATAAATTTTTTTACCGTCTTGAGAATAATCGATTAATTAATCAAAGTTTACTTCAAACGCCAATTTAATTGGTTTATTTTATTAACTTATACTTACTCGCTAATAATTTATAACTAGTTAATTATGGAAATACCATTTATTTCAAAAAACAAGCATACACACTTCTAAATCTAAAAAGCATTGGGACACATACAACTGCATAAAAATCCATTTGACGGTACCCAATGATTTCTAGTTAGTGAGCGGACAGAAATCAGATCAGTTTTGTGGCTAAACAATCATACTTAACTGATAAGCTTATCAGAGCTATCAGAGCTTAACTGAATTATGATATTCCAATAAATATGCTAATTCCTGCCCATTCTTAATAATGCTTCCTCAAAATCTAATTTTGAGGGAGCATTAATTCTTAGAAGCGTACGTGTGTAAATAAACAATATACTCACATCCTGGATAATTAATCTTAGGATTTAATATTAAAAAAAAATTTCAAACATAGTGAACTTCATAACTACCTCCTAAAATTTCGATTGTAATTGATTTAGAAATGGTCAATAAAATAACTACTTAAAGTAATTGATTTAAATTTCATACGCACTCCCTAATAATTTAGGCAATAGATTGAAGTATCATTTGTTAAAATTTACATAAAATTTTGATCTATGGATGCTTAATTTTATACTCACATACTAGCAATTGGCAATGTAATTATTGGTTAACGTAGATTAATACAATCCACATATCACAATTCTCGAAATGGCTAATCCGAGTATACACTTCTAATATAAAGTCTAAAATACCCTAATTATACAATGACTAAGGCTATAGATTGAGATATAAAAAGGTATGGCACATAATTGATCGTAAACTTAATAGCTTTGAAGATTGCGTTGGAAAATGATCAGATCATATTATTCATTGTGATACATGGAATGTGTGAGTGTTGCTATAAAGCTAAAAGGTAGTTTCATGCATAAATGCCTCTTGATGTTAATGTTTACTACAAAATACTATAATATTCGCATTATCATGTCACCATTAGTTATATAGAATTCGGTTTAAATGGTTTAGCTGCATGGATCACCAAAATAAAAAAATATATGAACATTTTTTTCTATATCTAGGGTTTCTCAGTATAATATTATATGAAATTATAAACATGAAAAATATACTCGGATCAGCAATTTCAAAGACTTCTATAATGATATTTCAAAACTTTATACTCACAATCTAATCATCAAAGTTAATGAGCAAAATACCGATCAATAAAGGTTTAATGAAATATTTTTTCTAAAAACAGGGAATATAATTGTTTGATGCTCACCTACTATTAATTGAACATTAGTTTATTAGACAAATACAGATTATAAAAACTTTCATCTTGAAAAATGACTATAATTAAATTTTCACTCACGTTCTAGTAATTATGTAGTAAGAAATTTATTATATGAGAATCAATTTATATAATTCTTTGACCTCTTTTAAAACCAAAATTTATACGTTTAGTACATTAGACATTTAAGTTAGTACATTTAGACATTAATGAATATCCTGATAACTCATAACTTAGTAATCTAATTGTGATGATTTTGTATTATTCAATTCACCCATAAGATTAATTAAATAATATAAAAATCATCAAAATTGGATTACTAAATTATATTATCAAGATTTAATTAGGCCATTAATTAATGTACAAATATGCTAACTTGAATGCCTGAATGTACTAATTTGGA